GCCAAGATCTCATGTAGTAAATTCCAGACCAATCTGAGCTTCTTTGAGTGAGGCCTTATCTCAAAGAAACAGATTCAGGATGTTCTGTTCCTCACTCGCAGATTTTATTCATTTCTCCAACCAAGTCGTTACACATGTACCCACAGTGTTTCTGTGGCCACACAAGGCTTGGGGTTCATGCAGATGGACAGGTCAGACATGGCTCCTGATTCCAGCAGACATGTGTATGTCTTGTGGTCACCCCACCATAGACACAGGTCACAGCCACTCTTTAAAGCAAAGGGTGGGTGGAGGGACGCCGAGGCTGTGGAGTAAATATCTGTGGTTGCCTGGGCCACCGCAGGCTTCCTGGCTCCGTTTTCTTTCTTTCTTTTTTTTTTTCTTCATGTAATTGGGGACTGTGGATTGTTGTGCTAGCTCCTGAAGCTCAAAGATGCTTTGTTGTCCTTTGTTCTGCTCTGTAGTAACCGTGTTGGAATGACTCTCTAGGGCAGGGCAACTGACAGGAAAAAGAGAGCAGTCCAGTGCGAACTTCCTCCACTCTGGCAAAAACAGCTCGAGAGTAGTTGTGCTTCCCAGAAGGCCCAGCCTTTTTAAAGGAACTGCTGGTAATTTCAAGCACCATTTTCCAGCAACGCAGTTAAGGCGATGGGTGCATACCGTATGCATGGGTTAAAGTATCATATTGAATCATGGTCATACGGACAATGAACAAATGCAAATTAGTGCCTCACAAGGGAGCAAAGAGGGAAACCCTGAGACTTCTGGTTTCCAAACCAGTTTGAATCCACTTCCTTAGTACTAACTAGTTCCACTCCTTGAGGAAAGAAGGAGTTGGGTGATAGTGACGGTGATGGTGATGATGGCTTGTGTGTGTGTGTGTGTGGTGTGTTCATCCCTCAAAAATAATTATAAAGCTGGATTTCAAGTACGCAGAGGGAATCTGGAGACTAGGGTAGGCCCTGAGGAGAGCAGACAGAAACAGATTGTAAAAGCGAGTAGAAGGAGGAGCGGTGACAAGTCCAGACGAAACCCTGGCTCGTAGCCGCAGGCCTGGTGTCTGCGATGATTGCAGAGGCTGGAGGAAAACCTCTGTCCATGTGTCCTTCCCTCTGTCTGCTCACCTGCTCCGAGACCCATCATCTTTCTGTCTGTGCATTCCTCCATACGAGTATTTCTCAATTGTTGAGTGAACTGTTAGGAGCCAAGCTCTGTGAAACTGAACTCTGACTCAAGCTGGATAAGACAGGTCAAGCAGTTATCTAGCCTACCAAATATGCATGTTGAACAGGAACACAGGGACACAGTGCTGGCTGGGGCGTCTGAGAGAGCAATCAGTCATACACAGACAGCAATTCCTCTGCTGCCGTTCTCTGTAATGCCACCACGTGTGGCAAACTATGGTCTTGGAGAAAGGTACCCGATGGATCTTCTCTTCACCAACCTGGGGAAAGATGCAGAGGAACCACCTGTATTGGTCAGCTCAGACTGAGTAAGAAAATACCATAGGGTGCATACATGGACGGACGTCTCAACAAGGGTATCCCTGGTGGGTTTGGTTTCTTCAAAGATTTCTCATCATATCCTCCTCATGGGTACTGTGGGTACTGCCTTTCAGTGTGGGCATCTCTGATGTTCCTCTCTAGTGTTCACATTCCCTCTTCCTTTTTATTAATTCATTATTATTACTTTTTTTGAGAGTTTCATACAATGTAGCTTGATCAGAGTCACCCCCAACTCTTCCCCCTAACTCCCCAGACCCACCTTCTCCTCCCTACTCCTTCTGCCTATTTTTTTTCAGATTTCTATACCCCCCGACTTCCTCAATGTTTCTTTTCTTTTTTTTTTCTTTTCTTTCTTTTGTAAGATTTATTTGTTAGCTGTCTTCAGACACACCAGAAGAGGTCATCAGATCCCATTACAAATGGTAACCACTTGGTTGTGAGCCACTAAGTGGTTGCTGGGAATTGAACACAGGATCTTTGGAAGAACAGTCAGTGTTCTTAACCACTGAGCCATCTCTCCAGCCCTCCTCAATATTTCTTGAGCTTTAGTTGTAGGGAGTGTGTTGTAGATGTATCAGTTGGGGCTGGATACGTAACAGTCAGTCGTTCACTGTGTTTTGACTGGTTTAGCTTTCTGTAATGGTCTCTGTCTGCTGCACAAAGAATCTCCTTTGTTGAGATATGAGAGCAGCCCTTCCCTGTGGGCATCCTTAAGGATGAGTATTTAGGATGCAGTAAGAAATTGTACCAGTTTAGGAAAGAGGCTGTAGTTTTCCTTGAGGGCCCACAGCTCACACTCTTCCTCTTCTTAGGAGGATATCTCATTTGGGGATGGGGCGGGGAGGACCCAGCTCACAGCTTCATCTGAACTCACCTTTTCAAAGGCTACCATCCCTAAATAGGGTTGCAATTTTAAGATCTTGTGTTTGAAACCTCAACATATACGTTTTGGGAAGACTCAGTTTATCCTATAACACAGACAGTGGCTTTGAAAATAAGAACTCAACTGACACAAGACATACGCCTTTGATAGATAGACTCCCAGAGGGAAAGTATGGCCTGCCTTTCCCACAGCTGAGCCAGAATTAATAGAATCGTGTCAAAAAAAAAGTGCGGAACACAGGCGCACTGCAGGGCAAACTCTAACTTCAGGGAGCCATGTCCATCTCTTAGAGGCAACCCTGTGATGACCCTCTGGGGCTTGGGAACCTGGTGATTTATCATACATACTTTGGGGACCATTTGTTATATAAGGTTTCAGGTTCCCCATCTTTGGTCTTCCACAATAGTGTTTAGCTAAGGGTCTTCTCATGACAGTCTATCCACCTCAAATGATGGTGGAAATGGAAAAAAGCCAATGTAGTGGGCAGGTCTATGTCATCTGTGTGCATGACAGTTCCACTGACTGAGGGGAAGGAAGGTGACTTGGGCAGACATTCAGTCTGTGTCATTCATTCCCTGAGTGAGAGGCTTTGGTACCTGAGGGGCATTTGTGGGCCAGCAGGAAGAGTGGCAGGTAAGCTTGGGAGGACATGTGACTAAGGCTCTCTTTGGTAGGGGAGTGCCTAGTATATTTCGTCATAGGTCCAGTGATAAATCTTCCGCAGATCAAGGGTTATGGCCAGTCCTCCTTCATCCCCAGGCGTTTGCTCAACTGCCATATCCATAGCTATGTTCCCAGGCTGGCTGGCTCTCATCCTCTTGTCTGGGCTGAACTTGGGTACCCAGGCCTTCAACAGCAAGCTTGTCAAGTGCTTTGAGGATCCCCAGTATGAAGAGCTGCTGCAGCTGGCTCGTAATGGACTGGGACAGACAGCCGAGAGGAAGCAAGTGGTGGTGATTGGGGCAGGCATGGCTGGGCTCACTGCCGCCAAGATCTTGCAGGATGCTGGTCACCAGGTATGTGATGGGGGCAGGAGAGACTCTCTTATGGGAAGATTGGGCTCTAAACAGAGAGGCAGAAGCACAAGCTGTGGACATCCCTGGGGAGCTGGGGTCACATGAAGCTTTAAGGTCTAGGGTAGCTGGGGTGGGAGGGCAGATAACAAAGACCAAGTTTCAGAAAGAGGCAGGAAGAAGCTAGTGCTGTTGCTTAGTGATAGGGGGAGGGAATACCCTGTGGTTTCCATTCTCGGTACTGAAAAAGGAAGGAAAGGAGGAAGGGAGGGAGAGAAGAAGGGAGGGATAAGGGAAAGAAGGAGGGAGAAAGGGATAGAAGGATGGAGGGAAGGAGGGAGGGAAGAAGAGATGGATGGATAAAGGGATAGAGGGAAGGATGGAATGGAAGGAAGGAGGGGGAGAAAGGAAGGAGGGAGGAAGGAAAGGAAGAAAGGAAGGGAATGATGAAGGGAGAGAAGAGTAGGGATGGATGGATGGATGGATAGATGGAGGACTAGGAAGGGTAGTAAATCTGTTCTGCCACAGGGGAGGAGGCTGTTGTACGGAGCATCTGTGACAAGCCCCATTGAGTTTATTAAAGAGTTGTCTTTCCAGGTGACTGTCCTGGAGGCCTCAGGGCGTGTAGGTGGCAGAATCGAGACTCACCGAGTTCCGGGAGCACACTGGTATATAGAGCTGGGGGCCATGAGGATCCCCATCAACCACAGGTACTCTTGAGAACAGTAGTGGCAAAGAAAAAAGGCCAGGATCAGGGCCGTCACACCAAAAGGCTGATGCAGACAGCAGTGGATGGATGGAAGCCCAGGGGTTAGCATCTGACTCAACTCATTTGGCAGCCCTAGGGCAGCCTAGGAGCCTCTCTCAGCCTTGGTGTTTAATCCACACGAGAGGATAACTGCATTAAGTATGACTGCCAAGCAGACTGGGCTGAGGATCACAGAAGATAGGTGGTCTAAGATAAGCCTGTTGCTGAGAGGAAGCAACAGTCAAAAGCAGCCTACTGAGTTTGCAAATGACAGGAAGCCTAGCACCCTCTCAGTAGGACTTTTCTGAATGGGTGAGGAGTTTGGAGAATGCAGCTAGAAGGTGAGGGGGTAGTGAACATAGCCTTCAGGAAGGATGGCTCTGAGGAACTACTCTACGACATCCCTCACTGTGCCTCCAGGAACCAGAGCCGTCACAGTTGAAAATGTGAAGCTTGCAGATACCTCACAAAGTGTCAGAGAGCTCTGCCAGCAAAGAGGGTCACTAGCAGGGAGTCTTGGCCTCATGGCATCTAGTCTAGTGTGATGACCATGGTACCTAGCATACCTTTCATGGAACAAGGGCTGGGATGGTCTTGGTGAATTCAAGGGAGACATGGAATAAGTTCAGGGAGCAAGAGGCATTGCACTGTTGGCTCTCAGAGCCTGAGGAGTCTCTGACCCACTTCCACAGGCTTTCTCATGAGCTCATCAAAAAATTTGGGCTGATGCTAAAGGAATTCTGTCCTTGCAACAACCAGACCTGGGTGCTGGTCAATGGAGTTCGGCAGCGCTCTGGGGCAGTGCAGGCTGACCCTGGCCTGCTGGGTTACTCAGTAAGAGCTGATGAGGTGGGGAAGACGGCAGAACAGCTCTTTGATGCGTCTCTGAGAAAGGTAAGACAAAATGAGGGGAAATCCCCCTTTTCCCTCAGGGCCACCCTGCAGAAACACACTCAAGTTCCTCTGGTTCCCCAGGGAAGAGCTTTGGGTGAACCTCAGATCCGTGAGTACGAGAAGCCTCCATCAGATTGGCCGTTATTGGTCTTCCTCCCTCTTGTGACTCTGTCCTGTGTCAGCCACTGGCTCTTCAGGGAGTGTATTCTCAGACCCCAGACTTCTGTGCACCTACAGACAGACATGTACAAAGTAGCTCCCATGAAATCATCGTGGTAGGACCAGGCTCATTGCAGAGAGAGTCGTACAAGCTAGACTCTGGGATTGGATGTGCTGTGTGACCCCACGAAAATTATCTGTGGCTCCCCTCTCTCCTCTCCACATTTCCAGAGCCTTTTGTTCCCAGGTTGTTGTGAGGATTAGGTGCCTGGGATGTGTCACAGTGGTAAGATGGTGGCAGCAGCAGGACCAGTGCTCAGATCACAGTTGTCATCATGACTGATGGTTTGTCAAGGAAGAACAATAAGCAGTCTGTCTGAACTGTCTGCCTACCTTTTTGACCTGGCCCAGCAGTGCCAAGGCCCTTGTCTTATCTGACCCATGGCCTGGAGGGACCTCAGTGTGACAATGAGCTCAGTGGGAACAGGGAGCACTCCCTGGAGGCTTTTGCCCAGGTGTCCTTTCGTGCTGGTTTGCTCACTCAGGGTCAGCATGCCCGACCTCTCTCAGCAGTTCTGTGGGGCTAGGCCCTCTGGCTCCTACGTGCTTCACAGTTACTTAGAAGTCCATAGAAAGTCAATGCAGGACAAGGAGGTAGACTCCCCATATGTAAGTGAGGTCGGGAGCCTTAAGGCTGACAGAGGAGCCTGGACACCTACCTTTGTATGCCTGGTGTCTATTCAAGGAGAGGTGAGATTGCCACCATGACATTCCCACCATGCCAGTTTTCAGACACAGTTCTGGATCCCAGAATTCATATAAAGTGTCACACACACACACACACACACACACACATCATACATACACACATACACACCACACACACACACCATACACACACACACACATACACCACACACATACACACCACACCACACACACCTCATACCACACACACCACACCACACACACACCACAC